TGCGCTCTCACTTCACCTTTTGCTTACGAAGTCTTCGAAGTCTTCGAAGTTTTTCACTACATTTAAACTTCGAAGACTTCGAGAACAAAAATTCACAAAAACTTCGAAGTTTTTTCCAACTTCGAAGACTTCGTTGAAATGCGAATATTCGAATATTCGAAGAACTTCGAATTTTTAAGAACTTCGAATAATGTGAACAGCACTAATATGAACTAATAAAACAAAAAAATTAGTTTTAAAGACTATTGATGATGATAGGTCGTTGCCAATATTCGATACGGCTGTATGGTTAACCTCAAAATTTAATTAATTAATAATATAATTTTTGTTGTTACAACTCATTAGTAGTTAAACTTTAAAAAAATTTTTTTATAAACTTAAAAAAACTAAAACTATATTTTTTTATAAACTTAAAAAAAAACTAAATTATTAAAAACAATATTAATATTTCATATTTTTATATACGAGTATATGAAGAAAAACTTTAAGCTACCGATACTGATTTATATCTCTTAAGTGAGTTTATAATTTAGAACTATGATTCGAGATTAGTACGTGAACTACATTACAATGAATGTGTTAGTGAAATATTAATAATGAAGCATTAACATTTGTAGTTAAATTGCAGACTATTTTGAATGAAAGGAAAAATGTATTCGATATGTATACGATAATTACAAGACAAGTTATTTAAATTATTTAAGCTGTCGCCAATATTTTTAAACTTCACAAAATAAACACAAACAGCATTGAAACAGTTAAACAATTGCAAATGCAGCAGAGCATTAACAAGACAATGCAAACATTTTTCGTAAATTTATAATGTTTAAACGCATACAAAGTATGAAAATATTAAAACAAAAAAAACCTTTTTAGCATGTTGCACCAAAATTCCCATAAATATATTCCAGTGAAGTCGTATATCGTATATCGTATCGAAATATCGTAATTGTTTATTTTGTATTTTCAAAAAATATATTTTGTTTAGTTTGGTAAATTAAATAACACTAACTTCTCTCCATTTAGCGTCTCAATCACCATTTAGTAAGTAAGCATTTCTAGTTAAATTCTCTAAAATTATATGCTTCAGGAGCTGCTGTTGACCTTTTTAGAGGTCGGTTATAAGCACTCCTTCAGGTCATAAGTATCCTCTGCGATAAAGGGATCGTGATGGTCTGTTATAGTTGTTGTGATGATTTGTGTATATCAATTATTAATATTTAAATTATTATAAAAGAAAATAATAATTATTAAAATTAAAATTAGTAAAAAGAATATATAAAAAATAAAACAAAAATAAATACGTAAAAAATAATATGTAAAATTATTAATTTTTTTTTTGTTTTGCTAACTGTTGTTTACCAATAATTTCTCTAAAAATTGCAGTTTAATAATACTAGTAAAAATTAAAATTAAAAATATTTGATATTTTAGAGAAATTCTACAATTTCGTCAATTTCTTATATAATTAGTTTCAAGCATATATTAAAAATCAGCAAAAAAAAACCATAAAATAATTTAATTTAAATAAAATATCTGTATAAAATGTATGGAAATATATTTGTATTTTTTGCTGGGCTTTAGGTAACTTGTTTTTTCTTTTTTAATTTTTTAACTATAATATAATATAACAAAAGGAAAACTTATTTTTTAATTTCAAACAAAATTAAAGCCGCGTGATTTGTTTATACAAATATTTGAATCTACGACGTAATTTTGTTTAAGATTAAAATTTTTTTCATACATTTTTTAAAAATTTAATAGTTACCTAAAGTGTGACAAAAAAAAATAAATACGTATAAATAATTTGGGTCGATAGCAATATATATGGAAATTACATTTTATTAATACAATCGTTCAGTACGTTTTTTTATTCTTGATTTACTAATATGTCGACTTTTCAAAAAAAATATTAATCAATCGTTCTGGCAGTATATGAATACCGTACTATAACAACTGTACTCTTATTAACTCAAGATATCTAGTTACAGAAAATTATTATTAATAAATTTTAGTTTCAGGCTAATTGGTCAACATTTTTTTATTGTGTTAAAAAATAAAAATTAAGAAAAACAAATCACAATGTAATTTTACAATAATTTTTATTTTATAGATATTTCGACTTTAGTATAAAGTCATCATCAGGGAACCCAATTGGCCTGAAAACACACTTTATTAAAATTGTTATTAATATATTAATATTAATAATAATAAGAAAATAAAATAAAATAAAATAATAATAAAATATAATACTAATAATAATATTAATATTTGAAAATTATTATCAATACTTTTTTTTAGCATTCTTATTACTGCCCACAAATCTGGGAGAAATGTGAAACAATATCAATGCTGTCAGTGGATAGTTCAGTTATATTTATTTTTGATCAATAAAGTGTAAGT